TTTAGGCGTCACAGGTTTGCATATGACACAAAAGCTGTTCCTAAACATAGACAACAACATCATCTCTTCTGAAATTCCAATTTGAAGGCTGTTTCATACTAGTGCTGTGTCGTTAGCTTAGCAACATGCTAACATAAACAAATGGAATTAGCTGTTAGTGAGCTGAGGGAGCCAAATCACTGTTTGCATCATTAACTAAAACTAAAAGCATAAAAACATTGTTACTTTTAATAAAACAAACACTAACTAAAATTTAAAATTAAAAAGCAACATTCTTTGAACGTCTTTATGATATTATTTTTACTTGATGAATGTTCTCAATGTTGAGAACAAACATAGTTACAATGTTAAAAATAAACATTAAATTCTGGGTGTAAAAGTTAGTGGAATGTTAAATTCTAATTTAGAAAACTTTAAGTTATTTACAATAAGAAAACTGGACATTTTAACATTCTTAGAATATTAGAAATAAACATTCAAATAATATTATATTTTGGGTGAAAATAAAGTCAGTAGAATGTTGTAAGAAATGTTTTCGTAGCTTTTAAAAAATGTTTTAATCACAACATGACAACGAGACATTTTAATATTTTAGAGTTCCTTTTAAAAACAATGTCCCTAAAATGTTAATTTAAACTAAATTTGTCATCTGGGATGTCTCATTTTCATTTAGTTTAAATTGAAGTAATAAAATAACTAGAACTAAATAAACTAAAACAAACATTAATAAACCTTAATAAAAACTATAGGCATATTAAAAAAATAAAAATGATAGAAACACAACAAAACATTATAAAAATAAAATATAATTCAAAATATTAACAAACTATAATAATATATCAGTGATACTGAAATACACTGAGCCACTAATACATTTCAGTAAGAGAGCTGTCTATATTCAGTAGACAGCAAGGCAGCTCACTAGATTTGGAACAAAGCTAGAAACAAACTTGTGTTATTCTTTTCTGTTTCTTAATTTATACTATCAGTCTCCATCAGCCCACTCTCAGCTGTAATGATCTCCTTATCTGAACTTTACTCTCAGGTGGGTTTTTCACTAGTATTCACATTTATACTTTTAGCATATGGAATTCCTTTTGGATAAAATTGTTTTGTTTTTTTTTCTGTTCTGCAAAGTTGGAAGGATATTAAATTAACTGGTTGAATGAGGATTTACACACTTAAGACCAAAGCATACTCTACACAAGTATGGGGAAGCAAATGCTTCAAGCTACATGTTTCACATGTCATTGCATTTAAACATTGGACAACATTGGACGTATGCATTCGCCTCAAGGGGATATTATAGCAGAAATTAAGGCTTTGTCACATGACGTGACTTACATGAGCATTTCTGAATGCATTAAACTCTAAGAAGCAAAGTGCTAAAGTTAAGCATTGTATCGGGTCACTTGAAGATTATCAACTTTTAAATGATTTTCACAGATCTCTCAAAACACATCAAATGTTTATCAGAGGTTGTTCAATTCAGAGGAAAAACGATGCATGGTAGAAAGTTACATTATGATTATGTGGAGAGGTGCAATAAAACCCTAACACGAGTCATGTGAAAGGGCATTTAGCGTAAACCCAGCTAAAAGGGAATATTCTCCGCATTTTGGCTAAAGTTCTGGCAAGATTCTTTGAAGTTATGTCCATTCAAACGTTCATTGAAAGTTATCTGGTCTTAATAAATGTTCTCAAAATTTAATGTGCTATTAATGTTCAAGTAATTAACAAAAAAAAAAAAGTGTTTTGAAATTTAAAACGGGGACATTTTGTATTTTCAGAGAACATTTAGAAACAACTTTTTCACAGCTTAATGGGAACATGAGAAAAATGTACTTAGAACATTTTTTTGTTGTTGTTTTGTTGACTTCTAGGGAAAATCTTGCTGATCGAGTTATGTGTCAACTTGTCAATGTATAGCTAGCTGTCTGAATGATATATGTGACCCTGGACCACAAAACCAGTCATAAGGGTAAATTTTTCGAAATTGAGATTTATACATCATCTGAAATTTTGTACTTCTAATAAGTGACTGTTGTTTTGTTTTGATCTCTCCGCTGTGTTTCCGCGTGCGTCACTTCTGAGTGGCGCATGCGCAGCGCTGACCTCCATACGTCATCCGCCCTGAACTGCTTCGGTGTACAACTGTTGGCGCAAGCTAGATTAAAGTGAATATTACGTTTTGAATATGGATATTTTTCTTACAAAAACGCATAGATTCGCTACAGGAGACCTTTGTTCACCCCCCGGAGCAGTGTGAGGCACTTTTTTTTAGGGATGGGCGCTTTTTATTTAACTTCTTTTGGACTGATGCATGCAACACCCGCTGAGTGCCATGAAACAGCTTGAAAGATCAAAGACAATTTTTAATATAACTCCGACTGGATTCGTCTGAAAGAAGAAAGTCATATACACCTAGGATGACTTGAGGGTGAGTAATGTATGGGCTAATTTTCATTTTTGGGTGAACTAACCCTTTAAGACTGGTTTTGTGGTCCAGGGTCACATATTAATTAAAGTTATTTTCCACCAAAAATGCTAACTCCTCTGGACTGTGCGCTTGCAATGCTTTGGCCACAGGATTTGCGTCTTCATTTGCGCACTTGCGTGGAGTATGTTTTGGCCTTTAGACCCTAAAATACACAGAATAAAACAATGAGCAAGACGAGACATTAAAAGTCTGTGTAAGCATTTTCGTTGTCATTGCTAGTGGATCTCCAGCCTGCTGTGCGATTCAATATTACCACTCTTTTATCACTCATCTTTGAATCTAACCTTTTCTCATTCTCTCACAGCTCTCTCCTTTTTTGGCCCAAGTTCGTGACTAATCAGCACAAGCTCAGTGAAGTGTGTGGGTGTCTTCAGCGAGGTAAAGAAAAACCTCAACTCTTCTGCGCATATGACTTTTAAACTAGACATCTGAAGCATGAAATTGGTCAGAAAGTCCTCCCACGTAGAAAAGGCATATATTGATACAATACCTGTGACTGGACACCCTTTAGATTGGAGCGAAAATGCTCATTTTCAGTGCAAACTGAGCTTGAGGCCGTAAATCCAGATCAAACCTTCACAAATGTGAGTGTAGAAGCAATAAGGTTTGGATATATCGTTTACCTCCGGGCCTGGTTTGTGCATCCCAGTTCATTCAGAATGACAGACTCATTATGGGTGAGAGAAATTATATGTGGAAAAAGAGAAAAGTTGACAATGGAAGGTTCAAAACGTTTCAACAAGAAGGTCAAGTTTAACACATCGGACACTGGACAAAAACACAAAATTATCTCTGTTAGATTTTAGTTCTGTGCCTCTAAATATAAGCTCTGTTCCAAAACTTAGTGAGCCGCCTTGCTGTCTGCTATTTTCTAAGCCAGCATCATAAATGAAATAATCTATGTCAACTAATCATAAAATATAAATAGCATTTCTCATGTAAAACACACAGAAAACACACTCAATACACTCTTAAAAATTAAGGTTCACAAAAGGTTTTTTATTGCATTAAACATTATAGAAGAACCGATGTTTGAAGAATATTTTGATCTAAAGAACCTTTTGTGCGATGATAAAATTCCACGAATATTAAAGATTCTTCATGGAATCCTATAGGTGCCAGTAAAGAACCTTTATTCTTTAAGCATTAAAAAAAAACAATTCTCTGAGCATAAAAATATGCCTAGTTACGTAATTATTTAATATGCAAATTATTTAATAATTATCCTGTAATTAGACAGGGCATAATGTGTATTTATAATATAGTTATAATACTTACACATAATTTAACTACTATGAATTATTTTAGTTAAAATACACAAATAAAATAACCCAGTAGTATTTCCAATATTATGAAATTATACATATTAAATGTATTATATATATATATATATATATATATATATAAAGCAGCATAGTCAAGTTGCCTACCTTTCTGAAAAGCCTTCGCACATGTTTATGATGCCTTAAAATGCTCCCTCTGCAGTCAGCTCACTTGGTTTTGAAACAGATATACTGTAAAATTAATATGAAATATATACAGCATGCATATCTGTGTGCACTGACAAGACAGCTAATTACAACATCCAATTTCACTTCCTTTACCACACGCTTTCTTTGCTCACTGCTCCTGATTCAATTAGGGATCCCCTGCTAATAATCTTGTGTGGTTTGGCAATTTATGGTATTTTATGATAGTTCTCCATGGGTCTTTCTTAACCACTAACCCTCATCTGACTCTGATCCAGGGAATTCAATTAGTTTATCTGCTTGTAATTGGAGGATCTCAGAGGTGCTTCTTGATGGAGGTTTCAGGTCAGTTTGTTCTCTGCATATTTCTTCAGGCCAGTTTTTATGTGATTACTATGTGATGAGTGAAACCAAGGTTTTTAAAAAGCCAATTTGTTTTAAACCAATTTAGGTTATAATCACTGTTAGATCATCTGTTTTGCATTGACATACTTAACTAATTGTCTAACTAATTGTACTTAGATGAGGCATTATATACACGTGTAAAATATTTATTATATATTATATTATAAAATTGAAGCATAATACTTACATAATTTAACTAATATTAATCATATTTTATATATTTAAAATATCAATATTAATCCACGATATTTAAAATATGTCATTAAGCCCCATTTGAGCTCACATTGTAGTGAGTTTTAGGCTCACCTCATTTCACTTTTTAAACAGTGATTTGACCTAATTAAACTCATCAGCTGAGGGAGAAATTGGGAGCAACAGGAGCAGATATTTCTCTCATTAGAAAGACTAGCCAATGAAGATGTGATGTTTGACATTTGCAGTCAGGTGGCGTTTGCTGCCTAGATCCTTAAAGCGACAGTTCACCCCAAAATGAAAATTTTCTCTCATATCATTCCAAACACATATGACTTACTTTCTTTTGTGGAACAGAAAAAGTGCATGAAGAAAAAAAAACAGTATATTATTCAGAACTCACATTTTGTTTACAAAGAATCTTACTCTTTAAAGTTTATTTTATAAACAGGCGGTTTTTACTTTAGCTTAGCTCATTTCACATACTCAGCTGATTTCCAGAAGTGTACTGGGTGAGACAGGCGACGGTTGCGTTTCGGGAGTTTCTCCAGTAGTTCCACGAGCTTGGAGAAGCTGGGCCGCTCTTCCTGTTCATACGCCCAACAGAACAGCAGGATGTCCTGCACAGGAAAGAAGAATCTGATCAAGTACTAGGTTCTGATTTGACGTGATCTAAAAGCCATTATAAAATGGATAGTTCCAGTACTTGATTCTGATTGGTTGAGCCGCATTCAAAGCTGTTGTAAATTACTCTACAAACAAACACCTCTTTGTTTCTAAATATGTGTGTTGCTCGGCAACCACTTTGTTGCAACCACAACCGTTTCTGAGAAACTACATTGTTCGGCAGAAGAATAATGTTTTTATTAATATCTTTACATTTGATTTGCTTTGTTTAATTTTGTGAAACCTTGCTACGTGTATGGAATAACCGTTTTATAAAAGCAATAAGCCCCGTGAAGTTTACAGTGAATTCATAACAGGTAAGGGGGTTTTAGGCCCCTAACAGCACCCCTTAGCTGTTATAAATTCACTGTAAACCACGGCTTCTTGCGGCTTAATGCTTTAGTCAAGCATTTCCAGGTCTGTCTTTTCTTTACAATGAAAATAAACTGGACGGCCTCCTTTGGGACTGTCATGCTCAAACCACAAAAGCACAATAAAAGTGCTTCATATGACACATACACTATATTTGACAGCTTTGTGTGTGAAAAGTTGATAATTGTAAGAGTTCTTCAGCATGTGAGGTGTATGTGAATAGTACTCACGGATATCTCCTTGCCCATGCCGATCTGAGTGAGGATGGGCTTCATTCCACTTCCCACCTGCCAGATAATGACTTCAGCTGGCTGATTCTTAAAGGGCCACTCACGCGCATGGAGCTCGTACCAGATAGTGCTGAAAGACACGACACGTGAATGTTAGTGTGTGTGCATGCATGTACTGGTTTCTCTTTACTTGTGAGGGACAAATGTTTAAAAAGTTGTCATTAATATAATAAAAACCTCTTAAAAGCAACTACAAAAAGGTTTGTAAATGGGCTAAACAATGTCTTAAAATATATTTATATAAAATAAAATATAAATACATGAAGAACTTTTAAAAAAGGAAACTTTATATCTATAAATGAGACTCTGAGTGTTGTTTCACTCACTTGTGAGGGCAAAATGTCTGAAAATATAGAGTATAAACATAAAAATACAGTAAAAACTATTAAAAACAAAAAGTTTGTAAAGTGGCCAAATAATGTCTTTACTAAAATTATTCAAAATTAAATGAAAAAATCTCCAAATCCTAATAAATGTAATATGCTTCATTAAGTTTAAATACATTTTAAAATTTTAATACATTTAATAATTTATTAGTATATTTCTGAATGCTCTGACTTACAGTATTTAGAGGGGGAAAACTCTTAAAATATCATAAATTGGTTCATAAATTGATAAAAAATGTTTATACATATTTTTATATATCATATAATGATTAATAAATCAATAAATCGTAATTATAATTTGCATAATTTAAGAACAACAGGAGTTCTTTTCCAAGTATTTGTGTACAAGTTTATGAGTCTGTACTTATAAAGTTTTGAAAATGTGCCTAAAATAGTGAAAGCTCTTTCTCTGAATAAAAAAAGTTTGTAAATGGGCCAAATGACAACCTTTATTAAAATCACAAATTATATAAATAGATCTTAATTATAATTTGTTTAATTTAAATAGTACTCACGGATATCTCCTTGCCCATGCCGATCTGAGTGAGGATGGGCTTCATTCCACTTCCCACCTGCCAGATAATGACTTCAGCTGGCTGATTCTTAAAGGGCCACTCACGCGCATGGAGCTCATACCAGATAGTGCTGAAAGACACGACACGTGAATGTTAGTGTGTGTGCATGCATGTACTGGTTTCTCTTTACTTGTGAGGGACAAATGTTTAAAAAATTGTCATTAATATAATAAAAACCTCTTAAAAGCAACTACAAAAAGGTTTGTAAATGGGCTAAACAATGTCTTAAAATATATTTATATAAAATAAAATATAAATACATGAAGAACTTTTAAAAAAGGAAACTTTATATCTATAAATGAGACTCTGAGTGTTGTTTCACTCACTTGTGAGGGCAAAATGTCTGAAAATATAGAGTATAAACATAAACATACAGTAAAAACTATTAAAAACAAAAAGTTTGTAAAGTGGCCAAATAATGTCTTTACTAAAATTATTCAAAATTAAATGAAAAAATCTCCAAATCCTAATAAACGTAATATGCTTCATTAAGTTTAAATACATTTAAAAAATTTAATACATTTAATAATTTATTAGTATATTTCTGAATGCTCTGACTTACAGTTTTTAGGGGGGGGAAACTCTTAAAATATCATAAATTGGTTCATAAATTGATAAAAATGTTTATACATATTTTTATATATCATATAATGATGAATAAATCAATAAATCATAATTATAATTTGCATAATTTAAGACCAACATGAGTTCTTTTCCAAGTATTTGTGTACAAGTTTATGAGTCTGTACTTACAACGTTTTGAAAATGTTGAAAATGTTTATTAAATAAAAATAAAAAAAGTTTGTAAATGGGCCAAATGACACCTTTATTAAAATCACAAATTATATAAATAGATCTTAATTATAATTTGTTTAATTTAAGAAGAACAAAAAGTCAGATGGAGCTACTCACAAGTCACAAGCATAAGCATGTATATGTGTGTGTGTGTGTGTGTGTGTGCACGAGGACGGGCCTTCCTGAGGGGCCGCAAAATAGCAGTTCAAAAGCTTTAAAGCACTTCTGCTACACTACGTCATTTGCATTCCGATTTAGTTAGAAGTCATCCAAGATAATTAATAAATGACTTTGAGGTGCTGTTGACTGCTGAAAAACTGCTCTATTCTGCTCTAAAGAGCGTGCTCATGTTAAAGTTTACTAAACCACACTTAAGAGCTAATTAACAATCATTGAATGGAGAGCGCTGCTGAAAAGCCCAATCATCGGAGCTCTGCAATTTAAAACCAAAAGTAAAATGTGCAGCTTGCTGCGATTGGTGAGAAAAACAAAATCAATGTAATTGAGATGGCTTTTGCAGTACTGAGAGGGAGAATTCACTTTGAGAATTGCATTTGCACCTGATGATACACTCTTAGGCTATGTCCACATTAATTCGGATACATTTGAAAATGCATCTTTTTTTCTGTTTTGGCCCTTTGTGCACAATGAGACAGTGTTTTTGTTAAAAGATGTTTTTGTTTTGTAGTGTGGACTGTGAAAATGATGACACATTTAGTCGCGTGACACATATTGTATCCATGTATATCTATGGATGTATCAGCATTGTTGTGCCTGCCGTTTTATGCATATAAAGGTCAGTGCAGACGAGCAACACTAGTGTGGACAGAGAGCATTTTGAAATGAAAACGTTGTTTTTAAATATATCCATATAATTGTGAATGTAAAAAAGCTATTTTTGGTGTTGATGATTCCATGAAGAACCTCCACGGATTTCATAGAAAATTGCATAGTGAATGATGGTCACAGACAGCTTCAGACTATGATTCCATCCAGTTAGATGATATCACATATGTTCAATATTTGGAGCCGATTTTAGAACACAATGTTTTAAATTTGTCATGCACCTCCTAACAACAAGCTGTGTTTCTGTGTGAATTTGTTGTGTTTGGAACAACTTGAAAGTCCGGTAGTGTGATCCTCAGTCGTGTAATATATAATGCCCACTTTTTCTCTGTAACTATTTACAAAGTCATCAAGTGTATGATTCCTAGTGTTTTCAAATCTGTTCAGATTTTAAAAGTTGTGTGGTGTATTCCAGCCTTTAGTTCTTTTTGCAGAAGATGCGTTAGACTTCCTGATCTGCCGTACTTTACTGAAACTTTTCCACTTCACTGTAATCCAGACACCTGAATCGGCTCCTAAAAAATGCTGAAAATGCACTCGTCTACACCAAATCTGGACATATGCCCAGTTTCTCCATCATTTGATCATCATTTGATGAATTACCACTGCCATGATCGCTAGAAAGCATGCATAAACATTTTTACGTTTTTTTTTTATAAAAATACATTTACCGCCCACAGAAAGCAAAAGTTGATAGTGCCGAGCAGATAGTGCTGAACAATGCATACTATAATTAGCCAAATTTACATCGAAAGGATGCATGTTTGTACTGAAAAGAATCACAACGACTTGTGGGTGGTTAGTGAATAAGGCCATTTAGTGAATTTGGTCCGATTTTTAGCATAACATATTGTAAAGTTCAAGCCGTATATACATATAGGATCATAAAAAGTCCATAAAACAGAACATGAGAGCAATACGTGCATAAAATATCCCACAGCTGCTGCGAACTCTCTGCCGCATTAAAACACGGCACTCGCAGAGAACAACGGAAGTGAAAAGAGGAGGCAGAAGGGACAATAGGGAGAACTGCTTTGGGGTCACCTCTAGGTAATGTCCCTTTAGTGTGACCAGCTGGACAGCTTGCATGGGTGCTGTATTTGGCTCCCATAGAGTGACAGTGTGACAGAGCCTCCATATGGAGAGAACAGCTGAGGACGCAATTGTGTTAGGACCCAACAGAGCAGCATTCCTTCATTTCGTCAACCATCCATCCATTCTTTTATTCATTTGGACCACACACTCACTGCCTCTGGAAAGGCCCGGGTCAGGTAGAAATAAGTACAGATGGAGGTTCAGTTCTGCATGCCGCCTCATGTGAATACAATCTTATTAGTGGAGGCTGAGCACTGAGCGAATCAATTTTGTGATAATGCTCATCCTAAACGGGCCATAGTCTATCTAGATGTTTGTATTATTGTGATTTCATGATTGATATTACTTTCATACCATTTGATACTATAGCTGTATTTTCATATGGCCAGTGTACCAGTTAAAGTGATTGATTTAAATGTTTAAACTAGTTCTGTCAAACGATTAATCGCGATTAATCGCATCTAAAATAAAAGTTTTTGTTTACATAATATATGTGTGTATAATGTGTATATTTATTATGTATATATAAATACACCATACAATGTATTTTTGGCTATTGCTACAAATATACCCCAGCGAATTAAGACACATATATATGTGTGTACTGTGTATATTTATTGTGTATATATAAATACAAACACATGCATGTATATATTTAAGAAAAATATGTTGTTTATATATTAAATATATTTATGTATAATATAAAATATAAGGATATAAATATATACATGTATATACATGTAAATATTTTAAATATATATATATACTCTATGTGTGTTTTTATATATACATAATAAATATATATTTGAAAATCTGGAATCTGAGGGTGCAAAAAAATCAAAATATTGAAAAAATTGCCTTTAAAGTTGTCAAAATTAAGTGCTTAGCAATGCATATTACTAATCAAAAAGTGTATACATGTAAATACATTTAAATATTTTCAAAATATTTACTGTATGTGTGTGTATTTATGCATACATAATAAATATACACAGTACACATACATATATTATGTAAACAAAAACTTTTATTTTGGATGCAATTAATCGTGATTAATTTAGCGTTTGACAGCACTAGTTTAAATTAAAATCTGTTATTGTAATTGCATTAGATAATATGCTTAATATAATAAGGTTTGCTCGAAAAAATCACTTTCTTTAAAAAAAAAAAAATCTAATCCAATGTATGGCCATATGTTGCAATATGCAGTATGTTTTAAATACTATACCTAATGAAATGTTATTATATTTTAGGTTTCCAAAAATGATTAAAATCCCCAAATGCTGATGCTATAAGGGCACATGAACTGGGGAGAGAAAAAGTCAGGCTTATTTCTGTAAATAAAATGGATTCTGTTCGTCCCCTGAGTGACAAAGGCAGAGAAGCAGTGAGGGGTGAAAACACGAGTGCTGAGAGGGGGACAGAGAGGGACCCACCCAAAGGCAAAGACGTCAGACTGTTTGGAGAAAGGAAGCTGGTTTTCTGCGGTGTCGGGGGAGAGCTGACGGATGAGCTCAGGAGCGAGATGACATAGCCAGCCACTTGGGATCCGCAGCTTATCCTTTCTCCTACTGGAGAGAGAGAGACACACACACAGAAGACGATGAAGTTTAAAACACAAATCCTTTTTGAGTTAGATTCATTTGTACCACACAAAAGGTCAGAAAACAAACTAAAAGATCATTACAGTGACAATTCTGTCCAAGAAATACAATAGAGGGCAAGCGACTATTAGTCTCCCATAGTCAAGACTATCGACATAAAGTCTAATCCACAAATGATATCTCTTTTTGAACTTGTTGTTTCCCCTAGAAAGCAATGAGATCAAATGAAGAGCAAATGGAGACTTCTGCTATAATCTCAGTTTATCCAAATGTTCTCCTCAGACAAATAAAATCATTTTTTTGTAGATCTACGCTCTTCAACAGGTTATGCCTATATTTATTTCTAAATCTATTTATTTTTACTTTTAAATACAAAGTTGATACTTGTGACTATATGTTCCACAGAAACTCTACAACATGTTTTAAAGACTGAATGGCAAGAAACTCAAACTAGCATCTTTTTTTGTACTTAGAAGTATACAATGTAGCAGAGTCTGGAAACTTGTAAACAGAACTTTGCTTCCCACCGGACCGATTAAAAACCTGTGAACCCTCTACACGGATAAAGTAGTTTAAAAGTAATGATAAAGTGGATTTGAAAGTGGTCTATCACTGACAGACATAGAGCTGTTTCAGCTTGACTGAGTCCCTGATCCAAGTAAAAACGAATTCACTCACCCATGATACTGTAGTGTATA